GAGTGTTGTTTTAATTTTTTTTATTTATCTTAATTCTCTATTGTTTTCTTGTTTTAATGCTCTAATGTTTAGGAGGAATGACTAATATGAACTTAGTGTGATGTAGAAGTGTTTGTATCACTTTTATGTCTTTATGTTTATCATAGGAGATAAAGTCATGTGCAAAGCTAATACCCCTAAAAATGTTATTTTAAACCTTCTCTTTCCTTCGTGTGTCCCAAAATTCTCTTAATGTTTACCGCTTCTCTCTCCTCCCTTTCCTTCTTGTATCGTCATATTCTCTCAAGTTCATAATCTCCCTTTCCCCTCTTTCATTCTCATATCCCTAAATTATCCTAAATTCTACCGCTTCTCTCTTCCTTCTCTCTCTCTCCTTTTGCTACCCCTAATTTCTCTCAAATTTCTGTCGCTTCTATCATCTCGTTCTTAAACCTCCCTCTCTCCCCACTCCCTGTGCAGGTGACCCGGCTGTGCTAGTGCCCCACGTCTCCCCAACTGCCCACAGTGAGTCTAGCGTCATTACCTCAGCACACGACTCGGAGGACCATGAAGAACCTGCCTCCACCGACGAGGACGAACACGTCTTCGGAGGTTCTCGTCACACAGTCGTCGACAGTGAGGACTATAGCGTTGCACCGAGCCCCGACCAGTAAGTTCTAAAGCTGTTAATGGGTCCTCTTGTCCTTTGGCTGTAAAATTTGATTGTTAATTTATTTATTCTAATGTTTTGAGAATGACCGGGAAGTTCTGCTTCACCTGTGGCTAGATTTTCCATACCTTTGGGTGCAAAATTCGATTGGTCATTCAGAAAAAGATTAATACCGACCGCTAAGTTCTATTACACCTGTGGATAGATCTTGTTACTTTGGGTCTAAAAATTGATTGTTTCTAAAGGATTTTAAAGGTGTTTGATAACTCTGAATGGCTGTAACTGAGTGTTAATGTTATTTGTTTCTTTTTTTTTCACAGTGGATCTTTCGGAAGCCGACCCACCAGAACTGTTACTTTGGAGGCTAACCACCCAGTTGCTGGTGAGTTCATATTTTAATTGCTTGTGATTAATACATTGATAATCCTATCCTCAGATGCTACTTATCTGAAAAAAAAAGAAAATTTACGAATTTCTGTTCGCATTAACTCATATACGCAATAACGATCATTAATTTTGAAAAAAGACCGATCGCTCGAAGGCACAACGGGTAATGCCACATCCACAGCACTATCTGTTGCATTAACCTCACAAACGTAAATACTATGAATAATCCATTCTTACCCCTTCCTACTCTTTCCCTTACGAATATCTCCTCCTTTAAGTGAAGCAAAATTCAGTTGTAATGACTATAACACGTAGTAAATAGAATAAAAAATACCAGACCATTCATTTCGTTGAGCAATCGTTTAACCTGCCGGCACCTATCTCAGCGCCGGAAACACTATCAAGTCCTGTAAAGTGGATTTCCCGTCACCTGTTGCCGAGTAAATTGTTTGTTCACAGTACACCTTAAAATTCCTTGGAAGAGGAATGTGTAGAGAGTGAAATGAAAAATGATTTGCCTGATACGAGACGCATGGTATTTCGAAGCTGTTTCGTTTCAGTTTAATGTGAAACTCGTGCATCTTACTTCTATGGTATATATATATATATATATATATATATATATATATATATATATGTATATATATATATATGTATATATATATAATTTATTTTACCGTTATCGTGGACGTGCCTTATAAGTGCGTCTTTTAAAATTTTAATAAACACAAAAAGGTTCGTTGAGTGAATAGTGCAAATTGTTTTTGTATTTTTTTTGTATTACAAGGAATCCAAATAAACTTTATTGTTTCTCAAAGGATTTTTTTATAACGTGTTATTATTATTCATTTTTCAGGACACGCCGCCAGCAGCTCCCACGACGAGGCCTCCGGCAGCAGCGCCATCTTGAGGCCACAGAGGCAGGAGACCACCACTCGCCGCGGAATCCCTGTAGGTAGCGGCTGAACAGAAAGGCTTTTTCTTTTTTCTTCTTCTTCCTCTTCTTATTTTATTTTTCCTTTCTTTTTTCTTCCCTTCAATTTATTTTCCTCTTCTTTCTTTCCTTCTTTTTTTTTCTTTCTTTTATTTCCATCCTCTTTTTTTTCTTTTCTTTAATCCTTCCTTCCTTCCTTCCTTTTGAAGTTGTGGTACCTGCGCATAACTCACTTTTTCTTCATCTCCTTCTCCTTCTTCTCCTCTTCCTCTTCCCTCTCCTCTACTTCTTCTCCTCCTCCTACTCCTCCTCCTCCTCCTCTACTTCTTCTCCTCCTCCTCCTCCTCCTCCTCTACTTCTTCTCCTCCTCTTCCCCCTCCTCCTCTACTTCTTCTTCTCCTCCTCCTCCTCTACTTCTTCTTCTCCTCCTCCTCTACTTCTTCTTCTCCTCCTCCTCTACTTCTTCTTCTCCTCCTCCTCTACTTCTTCTTCTCCTCCTCCTCCTCCTCCCCTCCTCTTCCTCCTCCTCC